TTCCATAGCTTTGTCCCATACATTTCTGATCTACATAATAACACTTTAAAACCCAATTTTCTATCGCTTAATATTTAGTGTTTGCTTTCTAATAATTGTATACATTCCTTAATGTATTCACCCAATGGTTTACGAAAAGAGACAGTCTAATAAGCATGTACTTCATATTTCCGTGACATGTTCACTTACGGTTCCAAATGATTTTATTAAGAAAAAAATACATATGCAACAACAAAAGAAATTCAGATCAGCAATTCTATTCTTAAAACACAAATTGCTATTGACATACTATCGTTTAAGTTTTGTAACACAAGTCTATATGTTTTCATTATCAAGTGCTAACTTGGGGAAGTAGGGTGCAGTTGCTCAGTCATCGTTATTAATTAAAGTACATACCTGTGATTGTTCAAAAGTTTGTTGGTGCAATGACATCAACACCAGTTATTTGATGGCTTGCTGCATGCCTATATTTCACCTTGAGCTACAAACACAACACTGGAACTATGTGACTAGGATGAGAAAAATCTAAAATGTCTGAAACTATGGTCACTCAATTTATACCTAAATAATCAAAAGTCAAAGTCCATTTTGCTTTCATTTTACATTTTTTTTGCAACTTAGTTACCCACTTCACCTGGTAGCATGATCCCTGGTGGCCACACTGGACATTAGAGCTTTACCTTTTTGTTTATAACCAACTAGATATCATAGAAACTTTTTTTTGTGAAAATTGTTGATATGACCCTTGATTAAGGAGGAGTAGCAATAACAAAATTTTCAAGATGACCAAGGTTTTCACTGGGAACCAGCAAGATATTATAAGAAGTCTTCTGCTGAAAATTCCATCCCTATGTCTCTCTGTTCAACCGAAGTAGTAATAACAAGAATTTACAGATGGCTGCTGTAGTAACCATATTGGATTTCTGCGTAGCACCATTCTCATTCTGGGCCAGCTAGACCTTAGAAGGAATGAGTGTGTGAAGTTTCATGAATGTGTGTGTGTGTAAAGTTGCATAATTGTGAGTGATTGAAGTTTCATGAATGTGTGTGTGAAGTTTCATGAATGTGTGTGTGTGTAAAGTTGCATAATTGTGAGTGTATGAAGTTTCATGAATGTGTGTGTGAAGTTTCATGAATGTGTGTGTGTGTGTAAAGTTGCATAATTGTGAGTGTATGAAGTTTCATGAATGTGTGTGAAGTTTCATGACAATCCTCCGAGTAGTTCAGGAGAAGTAGCAATAACAAACTTGTGATAAAGGAGAGAAAAAAGGGCAATGTTCCATCCCATATACTCTTGTCTATGATCAGTTACAGGTAAAAAAAATAAATGTTCAAGCAATGGTAATTAACAATTACAAGAAAGAGACAATTACTGAATCAAATTTATATATATCCCAATAACTGACTACATGCATTTCATGCTCATACCCACAAACAAGCAGCAATAGCTTGACAAACTATTCAAAATAAAATAACCAGGTAAAATACTATCCTTTAATAAAATTCACCATGGTCATGCAAGAGCATTTACTGATATAAATTAAAAAATTAATTTTAGTTTTAAAATTTAATTGTAATGTAGTTCTAACAAGGTTTATTCAATTCTGATATTTGAGTGATCTACACAAAAATGGTCGTAACAAAATTTCCAGATGAAAATTATTGATTGCTAAGGCCTTTTACATAATGACCTCAAATTATTGATTGCTAAGGCCTTTTAATGTCAGTTCAGCATTAGATTGGATCCAGAAAGTTGATATTGGATTGAACTATTATTGGTGCAGAGGGGTATCAAGGTACAGCTGTGTGAACAATAAGTCCGTAAAACTTTCATTTATCTCCTGTGTGGATGCTCTGCTATGAATTGGATGGAGTAACAGGCATTAGTTTTAAAGCAAGTTTTATTCTTAACTTGTACATATGACATTTTTCCAAAATGATAATATAGTATAATGTAAATTTAACAAAACCAAATCTGAATTAACTGCCATGTTTCAACTGTCCTTTAAGTGTATGAAGGAACATATCTATATGGGAAAATCAGATATTAAATACAAACTGAAATATAAGACAGGTCATACCATACATAAGATATATATATATATATATATATATATATATATATATATATATATATATATATATATATATATATATATATATAAAGTTACATAATGACCTCCAATTATTGAACTTCTGTGCCAGTTTTATTTCTTGATGGCATTTTCCTATGCTTTGTTTATAAATGCATTTTTATATTTGTAATACAACTTCTTCCCAACAGCAGGCGCTTTCCCTCTTACATCATAGCATGTGACAGAACCTGATTTCAATGAGATCAGCTGCTTGGGTAACTGTCTTAAAATGCTGACTTAACTGAGCACTGAATTTGCTGTTTCGAGGTATTTAGACAATAATCTTCAGTGGATTTCTGAAAGACAATGTGCAAAAATAAAGCGAATGTCATTGAAAGGTATATATCAAATTTTCCAAATATGATACCTATAATGTAGCTGCATGAGCTATGCGAGTTGTATTGTAGAACTCTGAGATTTGCACATTTTTGAGCACCTTTGTAATGTTGGTTGGACGCCTATATGGCATTAAAGTCAGTTATCAGTGCGAAGTTGATTTTGGGGTAAGTAATCAAAAACGGAGACTATTCCCCCCCCCGAAGTAGGGCCATTTTAAACAACGTTAACCCTTTTGAACACCCAAATACCACAGGAGTCTGCAGTTTTATCAATAAAGCACGACAATATTTTTGACTACATGAAATTACTTTAACGGTATTATACAATAAATAATTTGTTGTATAATACCGTTAAGGTAATTTCATGTAGTCAAAAATTTCGTCGTGCTTTATTGATAAAACTGCAAACTCCTGTGCAAATACACACCTGTCAGTGTCTCTGCATAGAAAAAGTGACTCCCAAACAACGTAGAATAATGAAACAAGCATGACCATCACTCCCATAAAAATATTAAAGCCACAAGCACTGTCTGGGCCCCATTTAATGTTTTCAAGTTGGGTAACGCCATCATCTACGCTTCTGTTGCTTTTCCAATTCCCTGTTGCATACAGCAGACACTTGCCGTTGAATTCATGCTGATTTGTTGACAAAGGAACAAAAAGAAAGAACGAAACAATGAATGAAATTAAAAATGTTGTCACTTGGGCTAAAACTAAAGCATTTCCCAACCCCATTATTATATGTCATCTGCAATATAATCGAATCATATGTCATGTGGTTGACATATCAAAGTTCATAATGTTTTTCCGATACCCAAATAGGGCGTATATAGAAAGGTTTCTCCTCTTTAAAACTTTTCCACTAGTGGTGACGGGATATGACTAAAATGCAAAGTAGTTACGATAAGTTGCGAAAAGAATGAAAAGTTGCGGAAAGTGCGAAAAGTTAAGAAACGGAGGAATGCAGAATATGCCTTGGTGCTGGAGTTGGTATGGATAAAAGTTGGGCCGAACACAATCGGATAGTCATCTGTATATCGACTTTTAACGGAGAGGTCTTTGAAAACTGTCAGAGTCGCATGAAAATCACCAAGGTTGTAGATCTACAACGGAACCTCTTAATGTATGTAACCTGTTCTTTGTTGAGTCACGACTGGGTGTTGTAAGCTATTCATATGTTTTACAGTTTGGACGAATTTGTTTGTTTTTGGTCATTTCTTCCACGCAAACAATATGGCCGGCGATGTCATCTGATTTAGATGGGCTGTGCTTTGTTCTTGCTATTTAATGTGTAATATTTCGGAGTTGTTTCTCGCTTCTTGGATGCTAGCAATCGTCATTTCTTTCAAAATTTACAGTTCTCTACTTCCTTCACCCCTTTTTCATCTAGTTCGTTTGCTAATCATTCTGAAACGGAAGGCTTTTTTCTAATGTATATAACTTTTTTTTTTTTTTTTTTTTTGGTCAGATGTTTCACGGATGCATATGTTCTGGACGAGAATTTCGAATGTATTCGGCAAGCATGATGATGGTTGCAATATCAGGAATAAGATTATCAGCTTTATGAAACCACGTTATCCGCCGCTTGAACTGATCAGGTCCTGACGGAGAGCGCCTTAGAGTTTGGTAAAATCTGTGAATGTATATTATTTCATTTGCTAATGAGTGTGGCTCATAGATGCACTCTTTGTTCACTTTTCTCTCTATGCAGTACACATCTAGGCGTTGAACAATCATCAAGAGAGTCTATTTCTTTCAATAAATGTTGTGGATGGTGATGCAGTCGTCCCAGAACTCGAATCTTTTACCCGAAGAACGTTCCATGATGATGTCGATGTTACGGATAATAAAATACATGCAATCTTTTCTTCCACATAGAATCTCTGGTAGAACAACCTTTAGATCTTTCATCACGTGAATGAGAGATATGCGTTCCATGAACTTCTTTAACGGACCTGGCACAAATTCCTCAAGGTATAATTCATCGTCTTTTTCGGAATCTGTTGCATTGATGTCTTTATGTGAACTGAGCATTTGTTCAAAGTTTATGTCAGGAACACTGATTATACTTTCAAATTTAACAAATTTGATAAGGCCATTATACAAAAACTGATACAAACATTCCAGATGTGCGTAGCGAAAGTCGGGCTAGCACAGTAAAAGCCAGAATGCATGGGATGGAATGTTTCTGAATTTTGTCTTTGTTTAGGGCAAGTTCGATGTTTCGTCTGTAAATGCGTTCAATAATTCTTGACTTTTTGCCGACGATGTAAGTTGAAAAGGAGGTGAACAGACAGTTGCAGTCACCATTAATGTACAATGCAGTTTTTGAAGACATAAGCAAGGCGCCATGATGGTATTTGAGACTGGGTCCTGTCTGACACATTCAAAGCTTTTTTTCAGCAGCTACTGTAAAGGACTTTACACCTTCCTTAGCACTCTGAAAGCAAATAAAATCATACCCAATAATATCATCAGCATTATTATTAAGATCACCATCATCATCATAGTCATCAGCATTATCATCGACCACTCCGATGGTCTAAGTGGTTAGAGCTTCCGCCTTGGATGCGGGAGGTCGCAGGTTCGAACCCAAGCAGGGTCATACCAAATAATTATAAAAATGATACTATCAGCTGCCTCACTTGGCACTCAGGATTAATAGGCCATTGTTAGGCTACGTTTAAACTCCAAATCTCTCTCTCTCTCTCTCTCTCTCTCTCTCTCTCTCTCTCTCTCTCTCTCTCTCTCTCTCTCTCTCTCTCTCTCACACACACACACACACAATTACTTGCAAAACATACAAAACGGGGATAAGATTTTTACCATCTAAACGGGAAAATTTTTATTTTAACGAATTATGGGCGATAAATATCTATTTTACTGTGTATTTGTAAATGACTTGTGGTTGATTTCTAAGAAACATTATATCATAATCTTGACCATCAGAACGGGGACACTCAAATATACAGAGTATTAGAAATTATACAATCAGATAGGGGACCTTAAATAAGAATGCATTTGGATTCTAAATAAGGAACAGTTCAGTCTAAATACTGCAGCAATTTCACATTATGCATATAGTTCCTATCCATATTAACAAGCTAAATTGAAATCGTGTTGAATTTGTATATTATGTTTGTCGTTTATATAAATCAAAATGTACGTCCAGGAATGTGTGTGTGTGTGTGTGTGTGTGTGTGTGTGTGTGTGTGTGTGATTTAGATTTTAACGTAGCTTTAGCAATTTTTCAGTCATATCGCTACGATGTCTGCAATGTGACAGTTTATAGTGTATTGCACTGGGGGGCATCATGCCGCAGACAAGTGGCATAATGTCCCACCCAATCACATTATCCTGATACCAGGCCAACCAGTCCTAACACCAATCTCTTAATGCTAAGCGCCAAACGAGGCAGCTGTTAGTACCATTTTTTTTAATAAAAATTCTTTGGTATTACTCGGCCGGGGTTCGAACCCATGACATCCCGCATCCGAGGCGGAAGCTCTAACCACTAGGACACCAGAGCGGTTTACAATAATTTGAAGAAATTGAACTGTCAAAATTGTGTGAAAATAACAGAGAATGTGTCCCTTTTTCTAAAATGAAACAATAAAAGATATGCATACTAATATTCAGGTAAAATAATTTTATTGGCAAGAATACGGTTTAGAATTTAAAATGTCCCACAAAATAACGTATCGTATCATTAAGTAGGGTCTTGATAAGCCATTTAAGGCTACATTACAAAACGGGGACGTCCACATTACGAGGTGTGTCCCCGTCTTTTGGTGTGTATTAACACTGACGTTCCCGTTTCGCGTCTTTTATAAACACACACACACACACATACGCACGGACACACAAGTACATACACACTGTCATCATCAAGCTCTTCGGAAACAATAAACCCACTAGCATCTTTAATATAGTTATCAGTATGATCATCATTAACAACAACACAGCAAACAAACATCATCGTCTTCTTTATGATAATCATTATCACCATCAATGTTAGATGCGTACCTTCTTCAAGCGTTCTAAACCCATGAAGTAGTCGAAAGAAGACCCGTCGCCAGCGCTGCGATACGACACAAAAACATATCCCACGTATATTCTCCACCATACTTTGCATTCTGGTTCGTTAATGCCCTGACATTTGCAGTGCGCTCACGTCTGGTATGTCTAGAAAATTCACGTAAAGAAAAAACAAAGAGTTTGTTGGGTCCTTTGCAAAAAAGACCCCATTTGCTAAAAGAACCTCTGAAAACTCGTTATTAAAGGTAGGCCTACGTGTTTTGATGATTTTTAAAATCAGTTATTACATATTAAATTTCATTTGTAAAACAGAAATAGTGATTGCTACTGATAATAAAATATTGTCGATCCATTTTGCAGATAAGTAAATCCTTTACGCAACATGGACACAAAAAGGATCTTTTTGGAAATAGTTTATATATACAATGGTATATTAAATCCTATTGAGAACGATCTATTGCACAATATAATTTAATTTGCGAAACAGAAGCATTATTTGAAACTGAAAATCTAAATCAAAATAGCCGGGTCAATCTACACACACACACACACACACACACACACACACACACACACACACACACACACACACACTGGAATTTAAAAAAAAAACAACACAAGCGCCGATAATTTTGTGTACATAGTTTCTCATTTACTGCATACTTCATAATTATTTAGTGTTTTGCAACCTTTTTTGAATTCGCTTCCTTTATGCAATAAAGATACTACTGATTTCATTGAAAAGTTGAAGTCTATTCCAAAACTTTTACCGAAGTTTTCGCAACTTGGCCTAACTTTTCGTAACTTTTCGTAACGTTTCGCAAATTTTCTGGTTTTAGACATACCGGTAGTGATCTTAATTTGTTTGAGACAGTCTAATATATTCTCAAGTTTCCGTTTCCTGAAGAGAATGGAGGTTGAGACACATAAAGAAGATAAAGTCAATGAAACCAAGAATAATCAAGGTTATATCGGTTGCATCCTCACTTACACGACAGAAATGTTGATATAAAGATCATCATTCTATTCTGCAATTGCCGGAACGTGCAGTAATAACTGTCTTTTTCACTGCATGTTATGAAATTTGGAACATATGGATATGACGGCATGAAGTTGTTTATATTAGAATATGCAATGCTCTCAGGGAATGACAAGTACTTAAAGATTACCTATTGTATTTATTTTGATGCACAATATGATTGTCTTCCATATAGGAATTTCTATAGGTAACGCAGCGTTACGAGTACATGGATAACTCGCCGCAGCGTATCTGGAGAAGTCGCCCCAAATGGTTGAGATGTCTCTCGAAAGCATGTAACCCCGAAAACCCATTTACTATTTTATCTTTTAAATCAATTTATTATTTAAAAGATAGAAATGTGTACCTTAGAAGTGTATGGTTAGCAACAAAGATGTCGACACGTGGTTAATTTTGTTTGCACATTTACCTAATTGAGATTGTAATTCACCGTGATTAACATGCATATAGTCCGTGTTTCCTCTTACCCTTGACACCCCATTTTTGATATTTGTTTTTTTTTTTCTATGTTGGGGTGTAGGGTCAGAGTCCATTGCCTATCAAAAACTTTGAATTTGCTGACACCATTTGGTGTCGGGTACTCACCAACTATCAGGCCTAGCAAACTTAGATGACCTTACAATGACCCATAATTACATTAAATCAAAGGGAAATCATTTATCTTGGAAAGTACAAGCATAACGATGTTGTCTTTAATGGGTTGTTTTTAATCCGTTGTCAGACAAGATGTAACTACAAGGTTGATGAATCTGATAATTGCCATGTCAAACAGTAGCAAATTTTACAATTAGGAATGTTCACAATGCCTGGTTTTGTTGCTTACAATTTACCTGTCATAAGTGTACCTTGTAGTAATATATACCACATGTATGACAGAAATTGTAAGCAATCATATGAGCCCCTATAGGCAGGTGGCATAAAGATTTGAAACAGCACACTGCTATTGCACTCTCTGCAGATTTCAGTTTTGGAGTACTTTGAGTACATCTATTCAAGTCTTCAACAAATTTACCATAGCCTGATTGAGAAGTTTAAGACTGCCACAGCATCACATCATCACAAATAGTGTGAAGTTTGTGTATATATATCAGTAAATTTGACTGTAAATATTGTAGTACATGTAATCTGTAAATATTTTTTTTTTTAAATTTTATTTTAGGATTTTTCATATAATGTAGTAATGACTATCAATGTATCCAGCAGGGCTGTAAAACTGAGGGTAAAAAAAACGAGGGGTCAGATAAAAAATATGGGGGTCAAAAATTGCATCTGATCCATACTTTGTCAGCTTAAATAGGATATTGCAACTTGCACCACATTCTCTCTCTCTCTCTCTCTCTCTCTCTCTCTCTCTCTCTCTCTCTCTCTCTCTCTCTCTAAAATACAAATAAACTAACAGACACAATAAATACACATATGCATTGTCCATTCAGATAATTGTATTCATTTTTCTTTTAGTTTAAAGTCGTACTTTTAATGTCCTCTGATTTTATGCAAGAGTTGGATAACATGGTTGCTACATTTGTCAGGATTGATTCTATGGTAGCAAAAAAAAGTCGGAATATGTAGGGTTAATGCCGTTTTCTTTTGGCTTTTATGATTGTTAGGTGTTGATTTCGAAACTTTGTTCTATTACTTTTAATTGTAACACCTGCTTTTGTTTAACCCTAAAACTACGACTACCACATCTGAGCGTCGCCTGTAAATAGCTCCTGAACCCACTGACGCATATATGCAGTGTCGATAAGCCTTGTTTAAAACCCCAGTGTCGCTTATGAGCGCGTAGTTCTGCTGTACTCTAAACCCCAGTGTCGCATATATGTGGACATAACTGCTATGTTAACTAAACGTTGATTGGTTGAAAGTACAGATATTTACTTATTTTTCATTATCATAACCAATGAGAAGACTGGTTACTGAACATTTAGATACCAGTTGGAAAGCTGAGAGGTTAAATTTAGACACGCGGGAAGGAAATTTCCGGCAATGTACAAAACACATGTAGTTGAGATAAACAAAAGTGGATTCCTAGTCAGATATTTGTGACTTTAAAGGGTTCAGTGCAAGCAATATCAAAGAGTTTAATGGATCATTCTTAGTAAAAGGATCAGATAATGATGTTAGTCCCGTTTCAACACTAGATGTATGTGATTTTGATTCAAATGACGATTTATTTTGTGCGATTCAAAAGTTTACGCGATGTGGATTTCTTGTCTGTTGTAGGAGTAAATAAAATGGAAATATATGAATAACAGACACTATACAAGGTAAGCTGCTTTTAATTTCACTGAAATTCAGCAAAAGCTAATGAAATAATGAATATAAACGTAACCATGTTTTTATTGTCGGTTTCCGTAGTCAGCCATGACGATGCTCTAGTATTCAGCCTAGCAAACAGTATCAGTAGTCTCAGTAACTGATACGCTATCACTCAGCAGTAGCGAAACTGCAGAACAGCTGTAGTAGTTAAAGGGTTAAACTGTGGTCAGCATATATTTCATTCTCATTGACAGTCTTGGTCCTACCAT